ACCAGAGGCGATGGGGGACAAGGGGAAGCAAGAGCTGCCGGTGATCCCCGAGGCTCCATCTCGAGCGAGCCCCGGGAGCCGGAGCGGGGGGCAGGGGCCCTCCTGGAGCTGCCGGCCCCGCCGTGCCCGGCGCTGACAGCCCGCCGGGAGGGCACACATGGCTCCCCAACCTCCCCAACCCCATCCCAGGAACTGCTCTTTTTTCTTTCTTTTTTTTTTTTTTTTTTTTTTAATAAAAACCACAGTTATTAATTGATGGGGTCGGGAGGAAGGGGGGCTCTTCGGGGAGTGCGGTTTTGCCGGATGTTTCTGAAATAATGTCAGCTTTCGACCGGGTTTATTTTCCAGCTCGGGTGGTGCAGAGATGGAAAAAGATCTCTCTGTCAGAGAAAAAAAAAAATTTAAAGAAAAGAAAGAAAAGGCCGGCAGAGCCGGAGCGGCAGCGTGGGGCCAAGGCAGGCAGCGCGGGCCGCCGCGGAGGGGATGTGCGCGGCCGCGGAGAGGTTTCCCGCTGAGGCTGCACCCTTTCCCTGCGGAAAAGAAGCCCCGCAGGGAAAGGGAAGGGTCCCCGCACCCTGACCACCGTGTGCGAGGGCTTCAAGGAACGCTGTAGTCTCCCAGATTGTATTTAATTAAAATAACAACATTTCTAGAATGACAAGGGAAAGGTAGAAGAAGGGAACAAAAGCTTCAAGAAGGAGCGTGATACCCCTTCTCCAGCAAGACCTTTTCAGAGGCAGGTTATGTTTCATATAATTTAAATTTTTTAACGACTGTTGTTCTTTGGAGCTTTAACATGTCCCATAACTTAGAAAGTGGCTGTGGCAAGAGTCGGGCCCGAAGTGGCACCCGGTGATAAAGAGGGTTTGGGTCGTGCCTCCCAGCCTGATTCGCAAACAAAGTTAGGGACCGGCGTCTGGAAGGGACTCTGAGATTAGAGGGGATTATTGGAGATTAGAGAGGGAGATTTGCTCCATTTTGCCCTACCCCTGTGTGTGACCCCTCGGTGCTGCAGGAGGGCTGAGGACCTGCCTGTTTTTCTTCTCCGAGAAGCTGCAAAATGCATTTAGATTTCAATAATTTTTTTAAATGGAAAAAAAGGTACAAAAGCCAATTAAAGATGCCTTGCTTTACGATTTGGAATTGTGCAACAGCCCTGCGCGGAGGCCGGATTTTTAGGGAAGATTTGGAGGGGTTAAAGCCCGCGCTGGGCGAGGGGCCGCGGCCGGAGCCCATCGGGACCACCGCTGCTTCCCGATCGCCCCCCGCTCCCTCTCGGCCCGGTTTACCCGAGCTGCTCCCAGCCGAAAGTGGGAGGATTTGTTTTGGCGGGGGTTGTTTTTGTTTCAGTTTCCCCCGCCGCCGCCAGGCCTTGCGGCTCGGCCGGTCTCGGGCCGGGGGCCGGGGGCGATTGGCGGTATGCTGCCTGGGCAGAGGCCTCGGTTGAGCTGCAAACGCCGCAGAGCCATCGGCTCCTTTTGGGGGTCCACTGAGCCGTTTGGGTTTGCTCGCACCCTCATCCCTTTCCCCTTGGAAGGAGCCCAGTGAGGAGCGATTCAAGGGTGACTTTGCAAGGACGAGTCTTCCCCGGCTCTGGATCCAGCTCGTGATTATTTTTAGACTC